CCCGGCTTTGGGCCGTCGCCGAAACGGCTGGTCAGACAGGAAGCTAACGCCCTCTTTCCCCTCTAGCGTCCCTACGTTCCTGTCTTCCACGACCCTGAGTTCACGATCCGCCTCAAACATGGCATTCACACGATCTACCTCCCCGTCAATATCAATACGACCTTCGCCGAGCTCGGTGAGACGCTGATGCCGATCCTGCGCGAGTGCTACCCGAACGGCCTTACATCGTCACTGAACCCGTTCGAGAAGACGGCGATCCCCGCCGAGGGCGAGGTGTTCAAGATCGCGTGGGGAGGAATGATCGACGTCACGGACGTGACAGAGGGCTGGCAGAGCCTCAAGGTCAGGAAGGGCGACACGTTGGGGGGGAAGAAGCTCGGCAAGGGCAGTTCAGTGGCCTTTGAGTTCGTCCGGGAGTGCATCGCCGAGTCCGATCTGAAGTTCAGGGTCGAGATCCCCCCCGAGGAAGAGTACGACGACTGATGGCCCGGTTGTGGGAATCTGCTCTTGGGACATTGGCGTTTGGTTTGGCGCAGGGAAAGGGATCGTGGGCATTTAAATGGCAGGCGCTTTGGGTGTTGGCTACCTACAAACATGGCGCCTTGAGCGATACGATGGAATTCGGTCGGAATGATTGATGGGTAGACCAAGATATTCTGCTGCTTCGTCGATGGAGAATGGGGTAACGACTCGAGGATTTAACGTTATTGAAGATTAAGAATATGCTCTGGTACGTTTTACACATCTACCCGACTCAACGTGCCCGTCCCAACGACTCCTTGTCATACTCAAACTCCCTCGTCACCGTTATCCCCCCTTCGGATTCCTTCACTGGCGCCTGTCGCGACACTTTGACCTCCTCCTCCCCGGCCGACAGCCCCCCGACTCCTCCCCGCCCGCCCCAGATATTGTTCGTCAGCCTCGACGACTTCCGCCTCGCGCCATGCTGCGCCGCGTGCTCCGGTGCTTGATACACACAAGACGACTCGTGGCCATCACTCTCCCCCTCCCTCCCCTGCAGCGCCTCCCGGCTCGCCATCGCGCTCAGGTTCGTCAGCGGATACACCGGCCTCCCCGCCCCGGGCGCATCCCTCGCCCCGCTCCCCTTGGAATACGACCCCTTGTAATCGCTCGCCCCCCGCGGCTCCGCATCCCCCGTCCGCGAGAACGTCGTAATGATATTCAGATGCCTCAACAACGGCCTCAGCGGCGGCAGACTCGCACAGATGATCCCGCAGTTCAGCTCAATCACGCTCCAGTACGCCGACGACACATTATCCCACGGCGGATCGTCGCCGCGCACCGCCGCGTGCAGCGAGAACAGCCGCACGATGGAGATGACGCACGTGAAGAAGCCGAGGCAGAACACCGACATAACCAGCAGCTTCTGGCGGCGCGGGAGGTTGAGCGCGCGCAGCGCCGGCAGCGGGACCATGAAGACGACAAAGTCGGTGACGATGTTCATGACGGACGTGAGGTAGTAGACGACGAGCGAGTCGATGCAGATGGCGCGGAGCGAGGGGAGGAAGACCGAGGCCGGCACGCAGGCGAAGCCGACGAGGACCTCCTGCGTGGTGCCCCAGGCGGCGAGGAAGAGGATCAGGTGGAGGCAGAGGGGGCGGGTGCGGCCGCCTTCTTTGAAGATGCGGCGGTATTGGAGGAGGAAGGACATTTTGGTGACGATTTGGGCGAGGTTGTAGATGGTCATGGCCGCGAGGAGGCACTGGGGGGAGGGCGTTAGTGGGAGGAGTGGTGGGTTTGGCATTGGGCGGGGGGGGCTACCTTGAGCTGGCTGAGGCCGTCTTCGGGCGAGACCATCCAGGAGTGCCGGCCGAGGCCATACTGCGCCTGGAGGACGGTGACGACGGAAACTCCAATCGACAGGACTTGGGCGATGGCGATGGTGAGGTCGTCGCCGCCCGGGGCGCCCACAATGGCGAAGCGGGTGTAGAGTCTCAGGGCGACGATGATGGTTGACACCGCGGCAAATGTGGCCGACACCCCAATGAGGGTCGGCACCATCGTCTCGGCGTCCAGCTGGGGGTTCTCGCCGGGAACAGGCATCATCAAGACTGGCCTTACAGCTGGAAGGCGAAGAAGAGTCGCTCCGTCATGGCAAGTCCAATGACTGCTGGGGAGACGACGAGATGGTGTTCATGTCGCCTCGAAGGGCGGCAACCGCTGGACATATCAACCTAACAACCCGGAGACGTCCATTCTCGGAAGCAATGCCGTTGGATCTAGATTCCGACCCAGCCCTGGACAAAAGCTTGTTGCTTTGATCTGTGCGGACTTGCATGCGTGCTGACCGACGCTCTCAACACCACAGGGGGAAAAGGGGGCAGGGCTCAGACGTTCAGATCTGTCGAGAATCGAGATCCAATCGCTTCAAGACGCCTCCATGTGCGAACGGCCGGTCGGCAAGCAGAGGCGTTCTCCCCGGTCCGCAATGGGGATTGTGCTGGTGATGTGATGAGATCATGCCTGGGACCCGGTAGTGATCACCGACCGGCGGTGCAGGAAGTACAGTGTCGCGCGCCTTTCCAGGTTCTCACCGGTCCCTTCCTTTGCCAAGGATACCTGTCAGTTCCATGTTGAGAAAGCGAAACATCTGTCAATCTCGTCTCGATGGAAATAGCCACACCACCAGCGGCATGCTCCGTCCCCTCGGGACCAGACCCCGAGGTCCTTCGGGCTGCACGCACAGACCGGACGGCATGTCGTTCACGGTCGGCAGAGGGTGATCGACTTTGTCGGCCAACCTTCAAGTGCGCGTGGCGCAACATGGTGTGTGCTTGCGATCCCGTCGGTGCGAGAATCTGGCTCCCGAGTGTCAATGCAATTGCAGCCTGGGAGGACGACCACACCACGCCGACCTGCCGACCTGGTGCCATGCGGTGATGTTTCGTCGACACCTCAGCTCCTGCACCAATTCGGCCCTGTCTGCCCGGACGCAACCCATATCCCGCCCGTTGGATCTTTCCCGTCCGCCGCCGCCACGGGACAGAGATTAAAGTCTGTCAAAATTCCGTGGTCGGTCTGACGATGCAGTTCGTCAGCACGAGGACCCGACAACGGCAGAGACAACGTGCCCGTGAGTGCCCGGGACGCAGCAGTCAGCGCAGACGACATTCGGAGACGGGCCATCAAATATTGCAATGCAATACAATTCAGCTGCAATTTGGGAATCCGGGTTTGCGCGTCCCCAAAAGGCGTGCTTCCTGGTCAATTGTCACGATGCAGTACAGATGCAAGTTGTTTTCTCAACGCCAGTTCTCATTGCCGCCTCCCGGTGTTCTTGGCTGCTCAAGCAGTTATCGAGATCTAGATACAACAGTGGCCGAGGCCGAAATTTGGAAATGTTCAAAACAGAAGAAGGATCCGCCGACCTCCCGTCCGGAAAATAGGTCGAGGAGCCGTGTGAGGACTCTTTGGGGTCGTGGGAGTCGGTGAAGACTCGATGTGATCGTGATAGTCAGTGAAGACTCGATCTGGTCGTGGGAGTCGGTGAAGACTCGCTGGTTCGTGTTCGCGCAGTCGTAAAGACCTCGCTGAATGGAGGAGCCATATAGACTCAACTCTCTGGTCGAGAGCCATAAAGGCTCGGTGGGTGTTTTGACAAGGTACTCACAATCGCCGTTGGTCACCCAACAACGACGCTTGCTACCCTCCCTTCGCAGGACAGGATGGGCACTGCCCTCCGGGAGGAAACCTGAACCCATCTGGCTTTCCGCGTGAGTCGGCCGAACCCTTCTTCTGTTTTGTATTCCTCCTCCTTCAGTCTTCGCCCACTGCCGGGCGGACGCGCTCTGAAGTCCCAGCAACCGTCCAGTCACCCCATCGACAACCCCCCAAAAAGAAACCCCATCAAACAGAACCCCCCTTGACCATCCTCTCCGGAGACCAAAAGCCGGTGCCGGGTTGAAGAGCCTCACAATGGCCGTCGCCGACCCAAAAACGACGGCCCAATTGCTAACCCCCCTCCTCCTTTCCTGAGGTCGTCCAAACCGAGTGTGGGACGCAACCCCCTGCAAGACCGTCGCCGGACCAACACGACGGGGAATCCTTGCAGAGGCACACTGGTCTTGGCACGAAGCGGGGGGACCTCCTCCAGACCCATCTCCATCTGTCGTTTCAAGGGAAAGGCCCTCCTTGATGAAGCTCCTCTTGGTGTGATGTGAATGTTGTGACTGGACTCCGAGGGAGAGTCTCAGCCAGTGGTGCGCGGTGGTGTTGTCGTCATCAAACTGGTGTCGAGAGTTTTGAGAGAAAAGCGAGCCGTGTGTTGCTTGACGGGACGGCTGCTTGGAGTCGCGCGCGGAGGGGGAGTCTCGGTCCTTCCCGGGCAGGACGGTGAAGAGAATGTCGCTGGAGTTCTCAAGCCGTCCTGCCCACCGAGACCCGTCGGGCGCGCGAGGGAGGAGTGTGACCGTTGGCTGGCGACATTGACGGGGCCAAGGTCGTGGTGCTGGCGTCGGCCGCTGAGTGCGCGACCGAGGAGGAGGGGAAGGTGCCCGAGGAAGGAAAGAAAGAAGCAGAGATTTTGAGGCGATGGCCTTCTTTTCAATGCACAATGTGACCCACTCCTGCGAGTCGTTCCTCGGTCAATGGACGCGACGGAATGTGGGGAGGTGGCGGTCATCGATTCATCTTCATCTCTAGCCCCACTCACCAAGTGGAGTTGGAATTTCTTTTGGCACTTGGAAGCTTGGGGGTTGGAACTTGCTTGGAATCCATGGAGTCGGAACAACATCAGCAGCGACCGTCGCAGAGGTTGTTTGAATGAGGAACAACGTCCACAAGAGCAGCATGTTCCTGGATCAATTATGGGAGCGAGGTGTTGCCGAAATCGTTGACTCGGTATCGCGCCATACCTCATCAGAAAACATGAACAGCATGAGTCAATCGAGTCCCACTGCAAACATCCTCAATTTCACCATGAGCTTGACCCAGGATCAAGTATGGACATTTTGGGTTCATTCCACCAATCAAATACACAAGGTTGTGTAGTCTAGTGGTCAGGACACCGGATTTTGAGCTTCATCCTTCCGGTAGCCTGGGTTCGAACCCCAGCACGACCTCATCCTTTATTTTTTTGCCTTGTCCTGCTGCCTCCGCTTCTCTGGAGACGAGGATGCCCTCATTTTTTTGGGTCCAACCTTGGAAAAAACACACAGCATTTTCCCATCTCTGGCTCATATCGCACGACACAGGCACATTTCACCGACATCAAGACAATAAGCAGTTGCACTGTGTTCGCATTGCTACTTGTTCTCAACTCCGAAAACTGACGATAAACTTATGAAATCCCGTCAAAATCCACGAGCGCAATGAACAAAGAAACCATTACAAATGCCCTGCCCGACCCCCGATAAGATCAAACCCCCTCCTCAGTGCGAAACATGCTTGTTCGCAAACCCGATACGGCTTTTGCCGAAAGGTCCCAGCTCATGAACCACAAACGCCGCCTTCAAGCCCGTGTCGCCAATGATGTTGAGGTCAAGCTGGGGGCTGTCTTGTATGCCACCGAGACACTCGCCGTTGGTGTCGGGCCTTCCATACTGCAGGAGGAAACCAGGAATTCTCAGAGGCTCGTCACGCTGTGTGTGCGACGTGTTGGTGCCGAGAACCAGATCCGGGAGAGTTGCGTTGCATGGGTAGACGTATCCCCAAATGTCCTTGTCGAACCTGGCTCCCGGGACTTGGGTCCAGAACATCTTGACAAGACGCTTGTCCATCATCATGAGGCTTGTACCCGTGTCTGCGATGCTCCGCAGGGGGGTCTTGTGGAAAGTGTCATTGCCAATGGCAAAGCCCGACACGTTGAACAACCACCAAGAATGCGACTCGTCGACGGGGCTGTACGAAATGTTGCCAATGTACGCAGAGTGGTCGATGTAGCCGAAGTTGTAGTGTCCAGCTGTTCCAGAATCCAGTCAGCATCAATCTATCAAGGGAGCACGGGGACGAGACTCACGGGCGTGGCGCTTCAGATCCGCCGTGAAAACAGGCTGCTGCAGCGAGCTGTTGATGTTGTCGAAAAAGGTTGGTTGCGGGACAGGCAGGATGGTGTTGCCATTGGAGAATCCGAGGCCCATGAGGCCGCTGTTGCTCGAGTCTTTGGTGAACTCCAACGACACTTCCAGTGCCACCTGGACGGCTTGCTTGGGAAATGACAGATTGCCGAACGAAACGACGTCGGTGAACACAGAGCCTCTGCCATCGCTGCCATCGCCGTAGAAGATCCACCAGGATGAACCTTTCATGAACTTGGACGTGGTGCTGGCGTTGGGGTTGTAGAGATTCTGGCCGTCGACCATGGACTTGGGGGTCAGGGTGCTGAAGACCCAGAGGTCGCTCGAGCCGGTGTCGACATCAAGATGCATGGTCTGGGGCGGCGTGCCAATTTCAACTGGGGTCAGATATTCAACGTCGACGTCGTTGCCAGGAACGGCCTGAGCGGTGCCGGTGCCGTTCGAGATGAGGCTCATTGCCTTGCTGCCACCATGACGCCTGAGGGCGTTGGCCAAGCCCTCAGGAATGGGTTTGTTGTACTTGCGGTACGCTTTGGCGATGGCCACGGGAAGGGGGGCCCTCTTGAAGTCAGGGTTGGCGACCTGGCCAAGGGAAATGCGACCCGGTGAGCTGCTGGTGGGAGAAAAGGCGAGCGCACCAGCCCCGAAGAGGACGGTGACAAGGGAAGAGACACGCATGGTGAACTCTTTGAAGACCTTGTGGTCTTTTGAATCGACTTGGAGCGGGAAGGGTCTTGAGAATCAGAAGCGAGGGTTGAGGTTTCGGGACGGAGGTGAGAGGTGGGAGGTGAGAGGAGGGAAGATGGTGGAAAAGATTTGGGAGGAGGAAGGGTTTAAATATGTGCGTGTGATGTGAGAAGAAGGCAGGTGGGGTGGGTTCGTTGTTGCTCTTTCGGCCTCAAACAGGCCCAGCCCGTTTGCAGGATCGTCAACAGGTGTGTAAACCTTTGGCATCGAGGGATGGACAGGCAATCGTCTTGCATACGTTCCTGCCAGATGATGGGAACAAACCACATTGGAGCCCGGTCCGCAGTGCGTGACAACTTTTCATCGAAATACCTCGAGGCAAGAGCAACGGGTCCTCAGACCACGAGGGTGTTCAGTCTTCACCCTTCATCGCCACCTGCAGTTGGAACTTTCGAGGCACCCCAACAGCCTTTGTTCCTGCCAATGTCACAATTCATATTCAGCTTGGGGAACTCCTCGGGCTGTCTTCCTCGCTGGCCCGAAGGCCCGAGTCATGCAAATGGTGTATTCCTCCTCGGGCCTCAAAACACCGGCACCGGTCGACGCCTCCAATTCGTTGCTCCTTTTCTGTCACCGAACATCTGAATGGGCCCCAGCAAGGTACTGCCGAAGTTCGGACGTTTTCTCGACTGACACAGGCCTACGACAGTCCGTCGTTGGACAACTTGTGTGGGGTAGACGTGAACAAGTGCTCGGTGAGGACGAGCAAGCAGCGAGGCGAGGACTTGTCCGACAAACAGGGGGAGATCACCGCCTGTTTGATAGGTGGACACCGGGGAGCCGCGCGGCATTCGGTCCCACGATACAACAGGTCATGTCAGGCGGATGGGGATGCGGACGGACACAACGAAGAGCAGAAGACACCCTCGGTGTCCAGAGTGTCCAGTGGGCAAACAATCGGACGGCCCGTCGAGGAGCACTCTTTCTCCTCGTTGTGTTCTATGAGGCAATCCGTCTTTCAGTGGCACAGGTGCTGTGTTTCATGGACGGGAAACAGGCACGTCCAGCCACCCAGCCATGAGCCCGATTCTCGGCGAGAAATCTTTACCCAGCCGAATTCAAGACGAAAAGACGAACCCGGCATCCACATTCCAACACACGATACAGATCCACAGGGCAGCGGACTGAAATGACTGGTGACCAAGCCTTCCACCACATCGAGTCGAGCATGGAGACTCCATGCTCCAAACCTCCCTCTACATTCTATCTATCCACTGGTATGGAAGTCCATGGTGCCAGTACCGTCCCACAAACTCGGTACCGTTGCGCCGGGCCCGTCCCATAGTACCATCCACCGTTCAGGCCGCCGGGCTTGCAGCAGCATAAGAAACGACTCGGGCCCTTTCACATCGCACAGCTGACGATATGATGGCTGCTATGTTAGGACGCAAGGTAGCCCTCCTCGTGGTCCGATACAACAGTTCCAACCAGCATATGCAGTGCCTTCACGTTGCATTTCCAAACGAACACAATCAGCCCTACGGTTAAACCTGCCCCTTTGGCACATGTCGTTGTGATGCATGCATCCATATCCCCGTGTCGGGTACGGGTGGCGTTTCGCTTGCGTCCTCGTCGTGGTGGTGGTCTGGTTGAGAAGAACGACTAAATGGGTTCTTCCAGAGGGAGGTTTCGAGGGCTGGATGCCAACACCTGAACGAGACATATCGGGCTAGAAGGTGTGCCGTGGGCTTGGGAAGTGGCGTCGCGGAAAGCTTATCTCGACCTCTGTGCAGGGGACGGACTCTGGCACCCTCGGGCCGCTACCCCACGGAGTCTGCCATGCCAGCTTCTCCATGCGGGATGGCGTGCGATGGGTAATCCAGTTCCACCAACATGTCCAGACTCCCGAGTTCAGCCAACTTGGATGAGACAACCATTGTGGGCACATGAAGGACCTCACCACATGAACCACCAAGATGGCAGACAAGACACTGTCTTTGCTTACACCAGACCGATGAGCTGGGCGGATGCGCGATGGTATGATGCCAGATGGGGCGTATGTTGGCGAACCATCACCCCACTTCCCGACCGAGAGGGACTCGGAGCTGATTTGAGGCATCTGTTCGCTCCCGACTGCCTTTCTTGGGGTTGTGCGAGATTGACAAGCAGCTGCATGCGGGACACTGACCCGCCAACAGGCCCCTAGTCATCCCATGACACTTGGGGGGGAGCCGCATCGGTAGTGCGGCAAGGTCCAAGACAGGCAGGAGGTAAAGCTCGGTCTTAAACACCAGTCGAAGTCTTCTCTCAGCAGAACGAATATAGGGGAAGCTGGCGAAGGCAGGCAGGATATTTGTTGATGAAGGCACCGCTCAAAACCAAAGGCGTTGAGATGGGAACCGGAAGCCCATGACAACTCAGACTTGCCAGAAAAGACGTGGTCTTTTTTTCTTTTTTTCTTTTTTGAGAGAGGTCTTCTTCTGTAACTGGTCCAGCGGGGAATGTAAGTCCCTCATGCCTCCAACTTTACCTACCTGTTGGGACAAAGTCTGGTGGGGTGTGGAGTTGAGATCTCGAGATGAATACGACGTCCCCCAGCCCGCGTGCCCCAGCTTCCGGGGTTATGGCTTTTCCCCTTGGTGACCAGACCATCCCACCATCGACTTAAATCCGGTAACACAGAGGTGGTTGGGAAACTCGATAGTGGTATCGTGAGTTGATGCAACACAACGTTGGTCACCGCAGGCTTCCCGGGACATGCAGCATTCTGGAATACAGAGATGCTCAATCAGCATGGCTCACGAAACCGTGCATAGGCGCTGGGAGGAACTTGTTGTATACGTCGGGGACCGCCGACCCGATGAATACAGAACGGTAACCGTTATCAACATAAGATGGTCGGACGGCCAGTGGTCCACCTGCTTGATCGGGCATAGATGATATCTCTGTCGGTTGGCCGTGTTGTTTCCGAGCGGCCTCGGGGCCGTATCCGCATTGCGGTGGGGCCGGCACGGTTATTCTTAGGGCTGGACCATCGGAGTGGTGTCCTCTGTGGAGCTTGTGGACTGTGGGACGATGGAGGATGGTTGTGGAACGTGGAGCCCCGGTGCCCCGGACACCGTAGAATGGCATGTGAACTTCTGTATTGTCGAACGCCGGGCAAGCGCGTGTTTTGTTGGGCCGTGTTGGCCGGCCCTGCCGCACTCATGTCAACCACCGATCCAAAGGTGGGCTAGTTGGACCCGCGGTTGACCACCGACCTTCCTCTTCGATGTTGATGGTGTGCAGCAGTGACAGTGGCACAGGTTGGAAGGATCCCGGGGGCTGTCAAATTCCATGGTGTGCGGCGCGGCAAAGGC